TGGCTAAGAAATATTACAAACTGACAATATATTATAGTTGTAAGATTTCCTTAAGTTACATATACAGGGTTGTTCACCACATACGACGCGGAGTATTGTAGCTAAACTCTTAGATTTTTGCAAATTGTACGTTTTGGGTTCATTGAAGGACTATTAGAGCTACAATTTAAAAATATTTTTACAAGATACAGAGTGACCCAAATAAATAAAAAATATCAAAGTTGTATTTTTTAAATGGAACACCCTGTATATTATTACATTTTTAGTTTCTACGATTAAAATAAAGATAAATTTGATTAAGGTTTACCGCATTTTAATCTTACCCTTTTTGAAACATTTAGGTTTTTGTCAAAATACAGTATTTTGACAAAAATAAATAATTTTGATGCTTTATTTCTCCAGGCGTATTTAAGTTTTTAAAACCAAATATTGTACTGATATTGTCTATTTACTAAATTTTGTGTTTCATTAATAAAAATTATACTACCTTATACAGAGTGTCTAAAATTTTATTTTAAATAATAATTAGCTATAAACGGCAATAACTTGTTTAATTTAAATAGAACACCCGGTATATTTTACAAGAATCAGATGCACAATTTAATTGTCTATCAAATGTATTGTATCATATTTTACCTATGTCTTCAGGTTTTCGTAGAAAATGCATTTTCTTATAATTTAGACCTCAAAAATCAATATACCCATGGAATATTGACATTTTTGATTATTTTTAAACATGTAACAAATTTTTAAATGGTACGGATACTAATATTGTCGATATAGTTCGTTTATGTTATTAAAAAATAAAAAAAATGTTTAAATATTTGTAAAAGAGAACAAAATAATATGATTCCAGTATTCAAACTACATTAATTGACTGTTTGCGTTGATTAATAATAATTGCTCCAAATACTAAAAACCTTAATTTTGTATGTGCATTAGACAGCCTGGTAAAAAGTAACACCTTAAAAATGTTATTTCATTTTTTGACGGATGCTTATTTATAACAACAGAGGCGTTCATTTTCATAACTTATTATTATATTGATTTCTGATTCCAAATCCACATTTATTTAGAATAATTTATTAACTAATACAATTAAATATGTAATTAATTAATATTTTAGCGGAAATAATGGCGGTATATTTAATTAATGTTTCTCTTTTATAAAGATATAAATAGTTTTATTTTTGTATACCAATACTGGTATAATATTATCGTTTTTAGCACCTGTACATTTGTTGCTTTAAAAACAATCTAAAATAACAATATTCCATGGGTATTTTGATAAATGAGGTCTAAATTATAAGAAAATGCATTTTCTACGAAAACTTGAAGGGATAGGTAAAATGGTATAATACAATTTGATGAACAATTAAATTGTGCATCTGATTCTCCTAAAACATACAGGGTGTTCTATTTAAATTAAACAAGTTATTGCCATTTAAAGCTGGAAATTATTTAAAATAAATTTTTAGACACTCTGTATGAGGTAGTATTATTTTTATTATTGCAACACAATAACTGATCAATAATTAAACTTCAGTAAATATCTAGTATTAAAAACTTTGATACCCTTGGAGAACTGAAGCCTTAAAATTTTTACTGCAATTTCACAAAATTGAAAATATTTAAAAAACGGTAAGGTTTAAGGGTGATAAACCTTAATCAAATTTACCTTTATTTTAATCATATAAACTAAAAATGTAATAATATAAAGGGTGTTCCATTTAAAAAATACAACTTTGATATTTTTTATTTATTTGGGACACTCTGTATCATGTAAAAATATTTTTAAATTGTAGCTCTAATAGCCCTTCAACGAACCCAAAACTTACAATTTGTAAAAATGTATTCGTTTAGCTACAATACTCCGTGTCGTATATGGTGAACAACCCTGTATATTGTGTGATGCATCGGAAACAGGGACATTAATATAAATTATAAGAACTCTTGAAATAGTATGTGTGTAATCAGAGAGCAGGCCTAGCTGGTGAGGCGCTGTGACCAAAAATTAAGTTGATTCTCTTCCTATTGTATGTATAAGCTTTGCTAGTGTCACATACATGATAAAATTTAAATCTTAATTTTAGTTAGAAAATATAATTTTTTTATAGTGAACTCTTGTTACGATCAAAGCTCTGTTATCAACTAGTTGCTCTGTGTATCAACTACTGATGTGAGTGTTGTAGCGTTTTCCATACCGGTTTATAATAAGCAGTTCACTACACATGTAGAGTATGCATCTATAAAAGTATATAAGAAATTATTAGTATCATTATAATGAAATCGATTATATCATCCGTCTACAAGAGAAACACACTACGTCTAAAAACTAATAATATTTGAATGAATTGCTTCTGAACAAATATAAGCCTAATCCTAATACAAACAGTCGTTGTTTCTCAGCTTCAATCTACTGAGGTGTTTGTTGAGGAGACCTCAAGCTGAGAAACAACGGCGAATGCAGATTCTGTGGGGAAAATGGGGAAACATCAGAACACCTTAGCGCCGAGACGACAACCGTTCGTGCCATGAATTTTTGTACCGGGTGTCCCACTAAGAATAGCTCTCGACTGTATCTCGGAAAGTATTAGCCGTAGGGCTTACGGAAAAAAATATTTATAACTAAAGAGACTATGAGAAATTGCTGGAAATTATTTTCAAGTTTGTAAAACGGTCGCTAGGTGGCGCAACTGCTATGGGAAATAAGAAAAATATATTTTTCACAGAATTTTGCCTAGATAATGGGTACTATAAATAATAGCTTCATAATCTTCAGTAAATTTTGGATTTTTTTCGTTAGGGCTATTTTCCCCTATCTGCTAAAATAAAGTGGTGGGGGAAGGGTAGATCTATCTTTATTTAAATGTTAATGACTCCGGACTGGATGATCAGAATCCAACAAATGAGAGTTCGTTTAAAAGAGCGTTTCTTACTCTATAATATACCATAAAAATAATAATAATAAGGTCTTGAACGTAGACGCTAGGGGGCGCTTTCTTACAATTTAACAAATATAGTGCGTTTTTTCAAAAAAATTAAATACGATAGTATGTGTTTTATTAGCTGATAGTAAAGAGTAGTATAAGCTTAAAAAGTCAGCGAAACCCGCATCTTGATATCTTCTTTCAAACCGAAGATATTAGCAAAATTATAATAAATACCAAAAAATAAGCTCTTAATTAGGTACCTTATTTTTACAAGATAGAAACAGTTAGTTTATTTTAAAATCGACGATATACCCGAATATCATAATATCAGATGTATTAATATCTAATAATTAAGATATGTATTAATAATAGTGAACAAGAAACGATGATTCAGTGAAGTTATGGTAAGCTTTGGAAAAAAGTTGCTCTTCGCGTAACAGTATAAACGTCAAATTGTTATTAGATCAACATTTTGATAGTCTTAGCAGCGTTTTTTTATCTTTTAAATGCTTTTTCAAAATACTTTATTATTTGAAGTAGTTGAAGTTGTTGGCATTTTGAAAAAGCAATCAAAAGATAAAAAACGCTGCCAAAAATATCAAAATGTTGATCTAATAACAATTTGACGTTTATACTATTACGTCAAAAGCAACTTTTTTCCAAAGCCTACCATGACTGCACTGAATCATCGTTTCTTGTTCACTATTATTAATATCTTAATTATTAGATATTAGATACACATCCGGTTGATGTCGAAGATGGACAACTGGCCTATGTGGTGCCGTTTCAGATACTGGCTTTTGTCAAAGCCCTGTGACTGTATTAGACTAGTAATAACCCATTATAATTGAAGAAAAGGGGAACACATAATAGATTTGTAAGATCGCGGTGCTTATCCCCCCTCCTAAACATTCTACATTCTACAATATAAACTAAATAAATATGAAAATAGTTTAAAAATAAAACTTATAATTTTTTGAAAACTGAGCTTTTTTTCATAGTATAGGCTTATATATCAAGATGTCCCTCTGAGGTATTTTCGCCAATTTTTTTTTTAGTTTTTAGTTAAAAAACATAATTTCTTTTTTGTTTCGTTTCTTTGACCTGGTATACTATATATTTTTTTCTTGTATTCTTAGCTTTAGGTCGTGGGGATTGCAAAGATGTTACTGGATTTTGTTCATTACTTTATTTTTATGAGTATAATAAAAATAAAATAATGAACAAAATCCAGTAACATCTTTGCAACCCCAACGACCTAAAGCCAAGAATAAAAAGAAAAAAACATAATTTCTTGATAATATGGCAACATAGACAGTAGATTAAATTTACAAGAAAGAAAATGCAGAAAAGATCCAGTGATTCTCAAAATTTGAGCAAAAAATCAAGCAAAAAAAAGTAAAATAATGCCGTTATTTTGCACTTATTTGAAGAACGATAAAGAGAAAATATGTTTCTTTTATCGAGATCTACCAATACTTAAAATACTTGCACTTATTTCTGGGACACCCCATATGATAAAATATAAATCATTTGTAATATATAAATGATTTGTAAATAATCATTTGTAATTAAAAAGTCAAAAATATAATAAAGTCAGAAATTCATAAATCGGACTTGTGTGTTTTGCTTGTAGACAATATTGTAGTTTCATAAATTCATATTATTATTTTAGTACTATGAATCTAGTATACCAATATTTCTAGTAAATATTAATAAGGATGTGCCCAAATGTTTACTTTATCTATATAAACATCAATCAGTGAATATGAATCTGGCAAGTATTCTATTGAATGATCTAATATACCGATTATTGACGTTTTTGCGTAGATTTACCTACGTCACTGGTCACCTATATTTCCTTCGTTTTATTACACCAACGTTTAAACATCAAATCGTATATAATAAAAGGTGAATTGTGTGATGTGTTGTTTAATAATTTTAACAAAAACTATCCAAAACGGTTCTGAAAGATTTTTAGAATATAAATACTTCCCTTCCTAGAATTATATATCTATATTTTTGACTTACTGACATTTTTTTTTAATAATATGGTGTACATTTTAGATAAAATTAAGCGTTGGTTTGGTATGGATACATCAGAGGAAAAGCAAACTACACTTGACGACATCAACGATGAAGAAAAAATGGGTGATCAATCTGATGGTGAAGCGTTAGTAAGGAGGAAGAGGAATGTTTCCTCTGTTCCGGAAAATGGCAATACCCAGCCAGATGGGAAAGTTGCCGAAGAATTTTAATTTTCCATAACAGTAAGTGTAAAAATACTTTTATTTTACCTATGTTCTTAATACGAGTTCATTGCATATTTTTCGTTTATGAATAAAGATACAAAGATGCGGTTTTTAAATCACTGTGCTCCTTTTTTATGAAACTTGCTACACTTGCCCTATTAGTTACTGAAATAAAGGGCGAATTTGAAAATTTTACATTTTTTTTGGCTCTCCTCGTATCATGATTATCCTATAACTTATAGAAAAGGTGAAAACTGAGTTCAGTAGAGTTTTTGACGTACATTCTAGAGGAGCACTAGCTTTATGTTGAAAGCTGTTATTTTCGAATTATGAATTAAACTTATATTTTTTGGGATATTAATGGGACACCGTGTATATTACTTTTTTTATTTTATTTGTCTCAGTATGAACTTTCTAAATTTTTTTTTGCTCAAATCAAAATTAACCGCGATAGGGGGGCTAGAAGCTAGGGGATGATAGTAGAAACTCTTAAACATTTCATTTTAAAAGCAAAACAGCTTTTCTAGATAAAATTATTTTTTACGAATTTTGTAATGACTTCATAAATTTGCCGTACGCGTTAGAAGTTTGTTTACTTGTCATTTACAAATAGGGGTATAAAATAATGGAAAAATACTTTTTGAGGGGATAAGGTTGCAAATAATTATAAGTTAGGTAACTTTCGCGCATGCGTCAATCTATCCAATGGGCTTCTGTGAAGAATCTGAATTGAAGTATACCGGGTGCGTCTCAAAAGTGGCTCACCCCTATAACTTTTTTAATTTTTTCAGTTAAAAAAACGAGATTTGGTATGTTAGTATATGACATAAATTGGAATTGATTGATGTATTCAATTGTTTTCGGTCACTTCCTGTTTCACCGAAAATTACTACAACTTTTGATTTTTAAATAGCACCTTCGTTATTTTGTTACTTTATTCGATAGAAAATAACACTCTTAATAGAATGACATATCACATGTCAACTTTTGACATTTTTGAGTATGATTTATTTGAAATTATAACATGCGGTTCTTAACGATTGACTCGAAATACCAAGTGTGTGGTGTCAAATTGTTCGTAAACAAATGCTTTTTTCCAAATATGCTAATGGGCCACCCTCGCTGCATTTGAAAAAATTGAGATATGTTTTAAAATACGATTTGAGCATTTTCTCACTGGCATTAAACGATCAAATCTATTTTTCTAAGCCTCCTTTTTAAGAATTAGTGTTTTTAACATCGCCGTGGAACTCTAGATTGAATTTTAAAATACGATTTTTTATTAAGCGAGAATGTCAAAAGTTGACATATGATGTGTCATTCTATTCAGAATGTCATTTTCTATCGAATAAAGTAAAAAAATTCCGAAGGTGCTACTTAAAAATCAAAGGTTGTAGTCATTTCCGGTAAAACAGGAAGTGACCAAAAACAAATAAATACGTCAATCGATCCTAATTTATGTCATACACTAACATACCAAATGTCGTTTTTTTATCTGAAAAAAATAAAAAAGTTATAGGGGTGAGCCCCTTTTGAGACGCACCCGGTATAATTTTCGAGCAAATTGATAGAAAATATCAAATATCTGAATTTTCAGCAACTTATGATTTTTTTTTAAAATTCTACTATCATCCTCTAGCTTCTAACCACCCTATCTCGGTTAATTTGAGAAAAAAGTATAGACATTTTTATGGCGAATTTGTCGCTCTACAACATACTTGAATTTTTTCTTTCTAATCCTGGTTACTTTCCCAAAATTTGAAAAAAGTACTTTATAATTATTTTTCACCCCTTCCCGGAGGTGATTTTAAATGAATCTGAATTGAAGTTTATAATTTAGCAAATTGAAAGAAAATGTTATATATCGGAATTTTTCAGCAACTAATGATTTTTAAAAATTTCTACAATCATCCTCTAACCATTAGCGTAACTAGCAATTTATTCTGGGGTGGGCCTGGAGGGGGGGCCTGGTGTTGAGCCCAGGGGGGCCTAGGGTTTTTGTTTTTTTAAAAATGAAAAATTATTTTAAAAAACACATTTTTTGAATAAAACGTTTACAAGAATTTCTCTATCAATAAATTTCATAGACCTGGTTATCAAACCGTGTTCCCGTAGGTTACTTAAATATCTACAAATGTTCACTAGTAATACCACTAGAGGTCAAATTATTTCCGGAAATTTTTTCTCGCTCATGAATATTTTGAAAATTATCCCGAATCGAAGACGAGGGATACTCGTGTGGTATTCGGTAAGAAAATTCCACACAAAATTGTGTTTGAAAATCAAATAATTAAATTGTATTTTGCTATGACAACTAAGTGACACCCAAACCTAAAAACTATTTCAGTTTTGAAGCTGTCAAAAGGTACGGCTTAAAAAAATGTTTCGCTTCGGTCATGAAAGCAAAGAAAATATTCGTCGGGAGATTAAGCAGTTGACACCCGCGAATACTAGGAAATCGAAGTCAAGCGTATGGAAGCAGTTTACATTTTCTTTTAAATCTCCCTGTATATTTTTTGGAAACTTTTTACACTTTTTAGAACTGTCTGTTCACGTAGTTACGGCTTTACTCTATGGTTACGGAACTAAAAGGGATACAATTACAGAAAAAATCCGGTGGCTTTCAAAATTTTTCAAAAAAAAAACATTTTTTTTAATTTTCAAACATAAATAACTCGGTTATTGTGGACTTATCTGAAAAATGGTAAAGAAAAAATATGATTCTTTTATCGAGATCTACCAGCTCTGAAAATATTTGCACTTATTTAAGACTCACCCTGTAGTTATGAGGATGTAATTCCTTATAATCAGATTTAAAATACCTTTCGTCTATAAGAAAATTACAATTTGGTGATAATATTTTTTTAATTAGATATGTTTTTCTTTCAGATGAAGAGAAAAAGAAGTTACAGAAAACTGATTATTTTCTAGCTTTAATGTCAAATATAAGACTGTTTATTTATTTTTTTTAATTTAAAATTTTTAAACTAATAAACGATGTTCCTGTTAATAAGCTTAATAGATAAATAATATTATTCAATTAGCTTTTTTAGTTGTTTTAAATTAATATTACAGTATTAATTGGCACTGATTCAGTATTCAGTAAGTAAAAAATACGTTTATTGTAATATGAGATAAGTGATTGTAATATAGAGTTTAAGTGAAAATAAGAACGAATGTTAATGAGTTGTTTGATAAAAAGTATGTTTATTGTTATGATTTTATGTGTTATCTTGATAGTTTGTATAACAACGTTAATTTAATTAAAGTTTATATAGTTTTCAATATATTTACAGAACTAAATAGTTTATATTGCAAGGTATTATTATTTTAATTATGAGTTTATTCTAGTTTGTTCATTTCAGTATTATAAAATATTAAATAAATCTATGTATATGTAGTTAGTTTTATATTGAAGAAATCCCTTAAAGTAAACTAACAGTGAACATTTAAAAAAAAACTCAAGAAACACTAGATTATTAAACTACTCCAGTTTCCAAACTTCAAAGAAGTGGAGAAAATGGAGACAGATTATCCAAGCCTCCACCTCACGGGTTCCTCAGCCGGAGGCAAGCTCCTCGACTGTGAAGGGCGGCACGGAGGGCCAAACTCCAACCGTGAAAGGGTGTGTACCCTCGGAGAAAGAACTGATGTCAGAGGAGGATGGGAAATACCCTGTCCCCTCTACAACAGGGGTATGGTGGGTTATAGACGGTGTGATGACTCAAGGAAGGGGGGGGGGGCACAATAGATCTTTAAGGTCGCAGTGATTAACCCCCCCCCTCTTACTCATTCTACATTCTACATTCCAAACTTCAGTACTCCAAAAATGTTATTATTTGGAGTAGTATCCGAGGCAGCTAGGTTGATTCTCACTATACCTTCCGTTTCCATTCCATATTCGTTCCGTATTTTTATTGTATTGACGCTGTACGTAAGCTTCCGTTCCGTATTAGTTCCATACTTTTTATTGTACAAATTTATATCATTACGAAAGTTTTACTTTAAAAATTTGTCTTTTGAAAAAGGTAATAGATTTAATTAAGAGGCGAAAGAATAAATAATATCAGCAAAATTTTAACAGAGCTTATACAAATGGAAGAACTTGACAACGCTGTTTCCGATACGTTTCAGTCTGTCCGCCAAAAAAATGTATGGAAGGAAAGGATATGGAACGGAAGGGAAACGGAACGGATAGTGTGCATTGTCCTATTCATTTACATGATATAATATTTTATGTAAGATTCTCGAAACATCAGAAACTCATCAAGAATGGCACACAAGCGTCACAATTCCGATATTTAAAAAAGGACAAAAAACTACACCCGAAAACTACAGAAGCATAACTCTCCTCAATGTAACAGATTATTTCCTTTATATCATTATTTATATTATTAACAGATTATTTCCTGTGTCCTTTACGTTCAAGTCGATGTTTTCGGTTGTTAGTTTCGGGAGAGGATCTTTTTAACAGGAAGTAATAAAACAAACATCTTTCAAACGTGAATATTTTTAAATTCCCAAACTTATAGAAGGACAAAGCAAATAAACTGCAGAACTTAGAAGTAAACAGAAAAATTGTAAAGATAGACCTTAGATAAAAACGCTGGGACGTTGTAAAACCAATAACCACCCTTGATAACATGTTTAACTATCGCCGGATGTTTGTAAAGGATCTGTAAACTTTAGAAAAGCACGTACCTAGATGTAAATGGCGCCAAACGAGAATTGAATACGTAAAATGGTCATATTACTGCCATCTAACAACGGGAGGTCGAACCAACTTGGTTTGAAGGGCGGTGTCAAGCTGACTAATCAAACAAAGAACAGTACCTTTAGGGATGATCCTATTGGCTAAGTACCGAATGCACCACCTTTCAACCCTGGAATGTTGGAACCTCGGGGCTGTTTTTAGACAGAAAAATTAGTTCGGTTTAAGTTTCTAAAAGAGACGGTTCTCCCTCGGGTTCGCGAAGCTCAGTAAAGTTCAGGATGTGACCCCCTGTAGTTTTAAGTCTGGTGTCTGCTAATAGTTGTCTTTTTAAGTTCTTTTGTCAAATATTCTTAATTTCTGTTTTATTATCCTTCTTTAAATTATTTTAATGTGTTGTAGTAAGATTTAGTAATGAAGGTTCAATTGATTATGTAATTAACATATTTTTCAATAATAGCAGACACCAGACAATTTTCTTGGATTTTTCCATCTTTTTTTTTAATTCTGAATAATAATAAGTAACTTAAATTTTTATATATATTTTCTTTTTGTTCTTTATTTTTTCTTTAATATTAAATTTAAATGTTTTCTGAAAACTCGGCAGTTTTATTTCTATAGTAAAAATAACCAAGAGTAGTTTAAAAGTATATAAATAAGATTCTTATGAACGGGCAGAATATCTCCAGAGCAGTCCAGAAAAGACTCGAGAAAAGAGCTACAGATTTTCGGGCAGAGATTAGGCCGCAATTAAAGTAAGTAATAGTAGATTTGTTTAACTAATATCATCAAGACAAAGCATTAAGCATACGCCTTAAAGAGTCGGTGTACTTCTTATCCAAGTTTACCTTCCGCTCAACTTAATTGTTTTTTTATATTATAAAATAGTCACGTGTCAGTGATTAATCCGAAAAGATTTGTCACATCAATACAACCATGAAACTCTTCACTAATATTTTGAAAGGAAAACTCGAGGAACAAATTACGAATAGGGACGAACAACAAGGTTTTAGACGAAATCGAGCAATTACAGACGCCGCGCCGCCGCCGTATTTATCATTAAACAAATTAAAGAAAAAGAAATAGAGTTTAATACACCAGCATATAACTGTTTCATCGACTTGACTAAATCATTCGACAAAGTACGCCTATCTGACATTATAAACATATTGAAAGAGATTAAAGTGCCTGACAATATTGTGAAAATCATGAGAAAGCTAAATATCGATAACACAACTCAAATGAAAGCAGGTAATAATCTAACACGAGACATACCAACACCAGGAGGCATTAGACAAGGAGACAGCCTTAGTCCCTTCTTATTCAATCTTTTAACTCGATGAATATCGGTTACCGAATGGGACACAACAGAGTTAGCATGGTGTGTTACCCTGACGATGCAGCCATTATCGCGGAGACAGAGGACGATATGCAAAGACAGCTTCATAAATTCTATCGGGTAAGCCGAGAATTAAATATGATTATCTCCACAGAAAAAAACTAAATGCTTAACTTTCTCTAAAGAGCCGGTAAAATGCAAACTAGTAGTAGAAAACAAAATTATTGAGCAGGTATCACAGTTCAGATACCTACGAATAGATATGTCGCACTACCATGATCCAGAGAAAGATCTGAGAAGCCAGATAAACAGAGCAACGGCCATGTCGAGATGTCTGAGACAAATAGTGTAGACAAACCCCTTCATGCAAACAGACACCAAAATTAAAATTTATAAGACCTGCATCAGACCATTAATTACATATAGCATAGAAATCTGAGAGGAAACAAACAAGATCAAAATCATGTTAAGAGTCGCTGAAATGAAGAACCTAAGAACTATAATGGGGAAGACTAGAAGAGACAGAATTAGAAACATAAATATCAGACAACAATGTGGAATACACGACGTAGTGAGATGGGGTAGGCAAAGAAAAAGACAATGGTTTGCACACGTAAACCGCTGGAAGAAAACAGGCTACCAGGCATAGCCCTTGAAGGGAAACCCATGGGTAAGAGACAGCCGGGAAGACCTCCAAAAAGATGGAAAGACAGTTGGCAGTCCATCTTCCATGAACTCCTACAGAGGCAACCTTAAAATTAACAGATCGAAAGATATCAAAATCTCAAATAAGTAAAAGAAGAAGAAGAATATTTTATGTAAACGGAAGGGAAGGGAGCTGATATGGAAGGTATAGTGAGAATCAACCTTTAAGGATCTATAAATAGGATGTTTATTATGTTAAAGAAAGCTTTTTATTACTTTCCACTGAAAATTTTTGAAAGAGAATAATTTCATCTAAAGAATCAATTAATTTAATTAACAAGTCATTTAACACAAGCTATAAATCATTTTTATATTTGTTAGGACCTTCCGCAAGCTTTATCCTGTCACAATTGGAAATAACTTAGTGACTAGGTGTGAAATTCATTTAAATATGTCATTATGTTTTAATCTAAATACGCTTTATTTTAAAATATGCCTTATAAGTACAAGGAGATATTTAATATTCTCTTATTAGTAGTCTTTAGTTTTCACCATTTTTATGGAACGATATAAACAAACTAGAATGTGTTAACAAGAAGCAGTAAAGTGAGCGAAATAAGAACTTAAGAAGACATTTTAATTGCTAGGTAAGTGTTAATTCCGTTTTCGATTTTGGAAAACCCATAAACAATACTTTATTTATAGCAAAATAAACAAAAATCATTAATACCAAATGACAAAGTAAACTTCAGAATGTCATTAGTTTTCTTCTGGGGGGTCTAGATAACTTCAGACCCCAAGCTATTTTACAAAATAATGAATTCATACAGTATCCTTTAAAATGTAAGTAACTTAAAAAACGTTAAAATTTATGGTTATATCTATAATTATTATTAGAATCAATTGTTACAACCTGTATTATTTATTTAAATTTAGGTAAGTTTTTTTGAGCCAGATACAGAATATTTTTGTGATTTAGTGATATTGCTACTGCATAGTTTCAGAAACTGCAAATTCTAACTAATAGGATTAATAGGATTTTAAATTAAAAAATGAATTTTTATTTCCATGAAAAAAATGCTTTTTTATACATAAATACACTCACCGGCACGAAAAACGGGCACCTAAATTTTTATATGTATTTTAGTTAAATATATTTTGTTCTAGTAGGCCGATTTTGATGATTTAATATGTACCTAAATTACTTAACTTCTTAGTATCTTTTTCCAAACTAAAAATGAAAGGTCCCATCTTTCACCTACACTCAGATGCAAAAAATGCAACGGAACAATTTTTGGTCAAATTTATGTTATTTTTAGCTCTATTTTCATGAATTGTTTAGCAAGCTGTATATAATTATATCAAATTTAATTCGTAAACTCAGTTTTTTATAAACTTTAGTATTTGACAGATTATACAGGGTTAAACGAGGGGTTGTTTTTTTACCTTAACTTTAAAACACCCTGTGCAATAATTTCGTTTGTAAATTTTTCTAAAATATAATTTTTCTGTCAGAACCATGTCTCCTGAGCCATTTTGTTTTTTTTGGATCATGTCAATAGATGCTTTGGTTAATTTTTAACAGCGAAATGAACTGATCACGATCAATTTGTAATTTTTTCGTACAT